ACTTAAGAGACTGGAGCCTCTTCTACCAAGAGAGCATCAAACCTTTTGAAGCTTTGCAGTAAGCCTCTGGTTCCTATTTTGGCCTTGTTAGTATTTTTATTCATTTATACCTGTAACAGAGAAAAATATTTGTTTCCAAAAATTTTCTTTAAAAAGTATCATTTGTGAAATGTACACATTAACTTTGTCCATAAGAACAAACCTGCACTTAGATTTCTATTTTTAAAGTTTGAAATAGATTTAGGCTGCCTTTTATAAAGAAGACTTCTGAAATTTCCACACTTACTCACCTGAATCTACTATGGAGTAAACATTAATGACTGATTCATGGAACAGAACTAGGCTCGCTTTACCTAATTTTTTCTCCTTCCAGATAAAACCAAGGTGAAGTAACAATATTCCTTTAATGCTGATGGGATGTCTAGAAGTCTGGTTTGGCTGAAGGTAATATAAAAGAAAAAAAAATACTAAAAACTAGAGTATTTTAAAATCCTTCAGAGTCTCCCCATAAATTCTAAACCCCTGAGCATGCCTTTTCAGTCTCAGCTTTCTTCAGTGATTCCACTGAAGAAATGATGCCTGCCTGGTCTTTTCTCTCTGGCAAGTTCCTGAGTCCACTCACAGAGGTGGACTCTTCTTGATGGCAGTGCCTCCCTACATGACCCTGTTCTTGGCTGTGACTAATTGATTAAGGGGTGCATACCTACCCGAAGCTAGAATCAGATTTTCCTAGCTTTCTTCTCGGATTGTAGATTTTTGAACCAAAACACAGAGACTGAGAGAAGTATGTGAGTCATGTTCATGACAACACTCTAGAAAGAAAGTCTGAGATCTTTTGCCGCTCGAGTCCCAGTGCTCTCGAGGTTCTTGCCCTTCCTGAGGAATTTATATTTTCCTCAGGCTTCTGTGAGATTGGTATTCTAGTGGATTCCATTTTTGCTTAAGTTAGTTCTAGTTAGCTTATTACTTATGACACAAAGAATCTTATTGTAGAAAAAGTACAAGCCTTCTGAGGAAACATGTGATATTTGGAATTGGTATTCGTATCCAAATGCAGAGAAAGAAAAGGAGTCCACTCTGTACCATCTGGAGTGGGAAGGATACTTGTGATATGATATATGGGATTTGCTTCAAAGTCATCCAATTGGGGTTGAGAAGTAGGTACNAATGAGTCTTCACATAGGCTCTTGCTTCTCTTTATATACGCCCCGACTAAGTCAGTGAGCTTATAGCATTAAAATATTTTGTTTACTATCTGTTTCTCTCACTAACTGTAGGGCAAAGGGCCAAAGTCTTTTCATCTTTATGTCCCTAGCACCTGGCAGAGTATCTGGGAAAAAATAGGCACTTACATACTTATTAAGTGAATAATGAATAAATAAAAATGAGATATAATTCTGACTTCTACATGAAATAAAATTTCAATGTCAACAAAATAAATAGTACTTAAGAGACTGGAGCCTCTTCTACCAAGAGAGCATCAAACCTTTTGAAGCTTTGCAGTA